ATTTTATTTTAATTTTATTTTAATTTTATTTTAATTTTTATTTTAATTTTATTTTTAATTTTATTTTAATTTTATTTTAATTTTATTTTAATTTTATTTTAATTTTATTTTAATTTTATTTTAATTTTATTTTAATTTTATTTTAATTTATTTTAATTTTTATTTTAATTTTATTTTAATTTTATTTTAATTTTATTTTAATTTTATTTTAATTTTATTTTAATTTTATTTTAATTTTATTTTAATTTTATTTTAATTTTATTTTAATTTTATTTTAATTTTATTTTAATTTTATTTTAATTTTATTTTAATTTTATTTTAATTTTATTTTAATTTTATTTTAATTTTATTTTAATTTTATTTTAATTTTATTTTAATTTTAATTTTATTTTAATTTTATTTTAATTTTATTTTAATTTTATTTTAATTTTATTTTAATTTTATTTTAATTTTATTTTAATTTTATTTTAATTTTATTTTAATTTTATTTTAATTTTATTTTAATTTTATTTTAATTTTATTTTAATTTTATTTTAATTTTATTTTAATTTTATTTTAATTTTATTTTAATTTTATTTTAATTTTATTTTAATTTTATTTTAATTTTATTTTAATTTTATTTTAATTTTATTTTAATTTTATTTTAATTTTATTTTAATTTTATTTTAATTTTATTTTAATTTTATTTTAATTTTATTTTAATTTTATTTTAATTTTATTTTAATTTTATTTTAATTTTATTTTAATTTTATTTTAATTTTATTTTAATTTTATTTTAATTTTATTTTAATTTTATTTTAATTTTATTTTAATTTTATTTTAATTTTATTTTAATTTTATTTTAATTTTATTTTATTTTAATTTTATTTTTAATTTTATTTTAATTTTATTTTAATTTTATTTTAATTTTAATTTATTTTAATTTTATTTTAATTTTATTTTAATTTTATTTTAATTTTATTTTAATTTTATTTTAATTTTATTTTAATTTTATTTTAATTTTATTTTAATTTTATTTTAATTTTATTTTAATTTATTTATTTTAATTTTATTTTAATTTTATTTTAATTTTATTTTAATTTTATTTTAATTTTATTTTAATTTTATTTTAATTTTATTTTAATTTTATTTTTAATTTTATTTTAATTTTATTTTAATTTTATTTTAATTTTATTTTAATTTTATTTTAATTTTATTTTAATTTTATTTTAATTTTATTTTTATTTTTATTTTTATTTTAATTTTATTTTAATTTTTTATAGAATTTATTTGGAATTATGCAAAATTGTGTCAAAAAAATGCTTAAATAAACAAACTTATAAAAATTACCTTATAGTTTAATTTTCAACAAATCATCATAGGAAAATTGAACAAATATTAAATACCTTGGAAGAAAATAACTTATAAGCTACCCTACTACACCTACTAATGTCAAAACTGTTGTCAAACAAAAGTTTACAAAATCCTAAACTTGATTGCTTAGGCTAGACTATACATTTAGCCTGACATGGTAAAATTATTAACAACTAAACTATAATTATAAATATAACTGTTCAAACTTTCAACAACAAAAAAAAAACTTGTGATTGAATATCTATTATTCCTTTTTTGAAAGT